TATTTAATACAAAAGTACTTCTAGTATACTTTTTAGAAATATATTAAAATGCAATTCAATATATTTTTATTGCACTTCAAATAAGCATGTTGGGAATACAAATGTATTATCTCTCTCACTCACACACACACACACACACACACACAGCAATTTGTTATAGTCTTAAGTTTAAAGTTCCAGAATATTTTTGTTAGTTTAAATTGTTTACATTGTTCTTCAATAAAGTTGTTGCATGATCTGGAAAGTGTGTATATTATTTCACCAGATCTCTCCCCAGCTAGTGTTATAGTAGTGGGCAGGTTGTAACAGCGGAACTCTTTGTGTTTGACATTAACTCACAGAATCTGTGATCGTGTAGTACAAGCTCAAGTGAGCTGTATTGGTAGCAGACACATGTGGCTACAATGTATCAAAGTTTGAGAGATCTAGCATGAGCAAGCACTAAGTTAGTGACCCTCGAACACAAAGTGTTACTATCATCCCCGGTCTCCTCTGTGTATTTATTTCGCTCTATACATAGATTGGGTAACTTCTTTCTTATGTGTTGTGTGAAGGAGTTCTGTTGAGCCATGCATTCCTCTGAGATCATCTGCTGTTCCTCTCTCTGTGTGGAGGACTGGGGTTTCTGCACTCTCAGACTTGTGCTTTTTTAAAAATTGATGCTTAAACAACAAATCCATAACAAAAGTGCCATGGGTGTACAAAGTAAAACAAATATTAACTATACATAAATAAAGGCCTTACTATTTCACAGTATCTTAAATGTACTAAACAAAAGCAGTTTTTACAGCTTTTTTTGTTTGCACTCTCCTTAATAGTACTTATATAATTATCTAATTCTTTAAGCACCACAGAAAAAAGAGGTTTCTGATTGTTTAATTTACAACGATGAATATGAAACCTATCAAGCATAATCAGGAGATTTTTGATTATGATTAAAGCCCAGGTTTCTTAATTTTGATTCCATCTTTTGTTTCAAAAGAAAGAAAAAAAACATTCGAGTTGAGTATGTGGAGATTTTCATGTTGCTTGTTAATAAAAGTGTTAAACTTGAAGGTCCGGTCTCTCTTCCTCCTTCATTTACCGGCTCTTGAGCTTGTGTTGCTGTGGTCTGAATCTAGTGGAAGGATCTAAGAGTAACACAGTATTTCTCCACCCACATTATTTAGTTATTTATTTTCCCCCCACGCTGCGGCTCAGGGCTTTCCTATTAATCCAAGTCATATTGTGTGAAATAGCATTATTACCTTTCTGTGGAGCAGTTTCATTACTCAATCTGTTTCAAACAGCAAACACGTTATTATTTATCCCATTACTTATAATTGGAAACATTTAGGCTACATTAAATAATTTATATTATTTTCTATATTTCTAGATATCTGCCTATATTTCAAAGAAGCAGCAGAATAATGTTAGGATTAGCTATTAAACAAATATAAATTAGCATCAGTTACTTTATCATAGATAGATAGATCGATACAGTCAATATTATTGCGAACATCAGCTTCAGGAAGTTCAGACGCGTGTTTTTGCTGATTAATCTAATCTCGCCAGAAAGATTTAAAAAGTGTCGCCTCGAATGCTGATTGGCTCTCCGTGCTTCCTCATCGACTGTGACGTGTTCTGTTTCCTGCTGTTTGAAGAATAAACGCGCCTTCAAAGAGATGGAATAGATGGAGCAACTGAAATTCTATTCTGAACTTCACACAGAATCCAGAGATAGCGCTCATCTGGACACACTGTGCTGGGAAAGATGAAGTGTGAAGTTCAGGAACAACAGAGGAAGCATGAAGCTTCAGTCTGTGATGAAGTAACAGCTGCACGAGATGCGCTGTCAGATCTACCGGATCCAGGAGGAGCAGGAGGAGGAGGAGGTTTTATTAAGCGCTTACTGGGTTTACATCATGACTCTGTGGACATGTGGAGATCTATGATGAAGCACAGACCGATAACACACGCGCATGTTTCACTGAAAGAAGCCCGAGAGCTACTGCAGAAGAATGAAGGAAACTGCTGGAAATATATCATGCAGCTCATGAAGAGCAGCGACGGCAGGCACACTCGTGTCTAGTGGAAGTGCTTTATATTGTTTTCTGTGCTAGACTGCAGCTCTGGACACATCTTTAGCAGATGCGCTCACGGATATATAGACTATTGCTGTACAACTAAGATATTCTAATTGTATTAGTAATTCGTTTTAGAAGAATTCAAAGTAGCATTTAGCTGTTGGAATGAGTTGTTAAATCGATCAGGCGAACGGCCAAGAAATCTCTGAATTAAACTCAATCATACTGCAAAAATCTCTGACTGAGTTAAACAGATTTACATGCCACCTAACAGCCAATCAGAAACTAGAGTGCGTTGTTTCCGGGTAAATTACTGCAGGTTCGTTACTAGGCAACATGGATGCGCACGCACACACACACACACACACTGAGAGAAAATCTGAAATAGCAGAAAGTCTCCTGTGAGGGGTAGGTTTAGGGGTAGGGTTGGTGTAGGGCAATAGAATATATACGGTCTGTACAGTATAAAAACCATTACGCTTGTGGAGAGTCCCCACAAGGATAGCTGACCAGGCATGAGTGTGTGTGTGTGTGCGCGTGTGAACAATTCTCACGAACTAAAAAAGTAGACTGATTTATTTTGACAATTACGAAAATTAGGGCTGCACTATAAATCGCATGCGATATATTTAACGCGCATCTTGTCAGAAAGCCGGTTCTGTAATCAGCGGTAAATCTCCATCTCCTGCCTGCTTTCACATGGAGCAGCAGTAACTACACAGAGCCGTTGTTCACTGACGAGCTGCGCAAAACCAGTTCATATTCAGCTCGTCAGTGAACAACGGCTCTGTGTAGTTACTGCTGCTCCATGTGAAAGCACGCAGGTCGCTACAGAAGTAGTAGGGAGCTCGGTGTATGTCATATGCGGAAAACAAAAACTAAATCATGCACACCACACAGCAAAATTATGAGTGTTAATTCAACTCTAACAGAGTTTAAATCAACTCCGAAAAAGTGTACATATTGTCCCAATCTTTTCAGAGTTACATTAACACTCTTCAAAGAGTTACTTGTTTAACACTATGAATGAGTTATATGTACACGGTATAGAGTTAAAAAACAACTCTGGTCTGCAGTGCAAATACTGTAAAAGGAACAATTTCATCATCTATTATAAATGCATGAAGGTCTTCATCCATTTGCACAGTTTGAACACTGCTTGTCGAAAGAAAAACCTTCTCATCTTTCACAATAATATTAACAACTTTTTTGAACACTGGATGAACTGTGATTAAATGTTTCTTAAATCCAGAATATGTGCCAAACATTGAAGAACATCCGAACTCTGCACATCGTAAACGCAAGAGCTTTCCAGGGTAAAGTCCGTGTAGAAGTTTCAAATGCCGACAAATCAGAGATGAAGTCCGATGAGAAGTTTTACAAATAAAACATGTAAACATGCTTTGACCCTATCTTCAATCACTCCTTTCCACTGAGAAATCTTGCCCTTAGTTCTCTGACTCTTGGTCTTTCTTTGGAGGTTCCAGCATCTATGTTGTACACTGCCGTTTGGATGAACATGTAGAAGTTTGCCAGACTTTCGTGGTATGATGTGCTGAACACAAAGTGTGCCTTAAAGAGCTCATCAAATGCTGCTACCGTCGTCAGAGCCTTGCATGGAATTGGTTTCATGTCGACAATAATGAAGAACCTATGAATGCTTTTGGTATTTTCTCCAATACAGAGCAGGAAAGGCTGTGCAGATCCGACTTTCTCCAAAAACATTGGAATGCTGGTTCCCATCTAGATAATATAAGAAAACCAGGCCAATTACAATGAATGCTAATTCTGTTTTATAGATGCAATGCCAAACATGTTCCAGTAAGTTACTGAAGAAAAGAAGATACAACTGACATCCGTGATTTACGGTGGCTGAGAAGCACAAAACAAATCACAATTATGAAAACAAATGAGCAAATCAAAAAACAAAATAGCAAGTCAGAAACAATTTTAAGGTTTTTTTAAAAAAATGAAACGAGCATAATGAACGAGCATAATATTTTTAGATTGTAATGTTACAATGTTATTATGAAATGTGATTTTGACCCTTTTTTGCACATAATATATAGGCTTACATTGTTGCATTCACTTTATTAGTTTTCATAGCCTTTAATATATTGTTTCGTTAGACAACATTGGGCAGTACGTAAAATATATACTGTATATTAAATACAGATTTAAAAAAAAAAATCCAGATACAAAAACGAAAATACCAAGATATATACCATATATAGCAAATCGGCCAAATAATAGAGATATGAAATTTTGCCCATATCGCCCAGCCCTACCCATTAGTACTTTATTTGCATTAATATTTTATTAAAACTTCTGCGGGAGTGTGCTGTACTTAACTGACTGCATGTCTTGATTGACAGATGTATCATCCAATCTGCTGTAAGTATTCAATTCACAAAATATATCTAATCTTTTCCATTTTGTCATTGTGTTTTTTGACTTGCCATTTTGTTTTTAGACTTGGTGCTGCATTTATAGTTTGACGTTTTGTTTTTGGATTTGTTCAATTGTTTTCATAATTGTGATTTGTTTTGCACGTCTCGGACACAGCGGATTTCAGAATGAATTAAAAACACATTAAAACTCACCCTAAGAAATCGCACCACATGGTCAGCTGCCTGAAGGGGGCTGATCTTTGCTGCCTTCTTGTGACCTTTTGGAGTTGGGGGCAGGAGATACAGCGATTCCTTTTTATGATACGTGTTAAATCTTACCATCACCAGGTTCACGCTGAGCATCTTTGATGAGTTCCTCAATGTGGTGACTGGAGGACAATCCTTTGCTGTCATTGATCACTCTCTGTTTGAAGTAGGTTGGCCACTTTGCCAGAAACTTTCCTGAGATCTCTTCTCCAAATAGTAGCAAAAAATCTTGTTCAATCTGTATATAAAAAACAAAACAAAAACAGAACAAACACTCTTTACAGTTTTTAAGCGCCAGGCCAGGTACCCAGTGCCGCTAGACGCATCGTAGAAATGCTCCTAAAAAAATAAAAGAGTAAACGATTTTAAAAAAAAATTAAGGCAAATCATTAAATTGTTTTTAAAGTGAATAATTTTTTAGACCTGTATAATCTGGAAAAAAAGCACTTACATATCCGTTTTTAGAATATGGATCCTCCAGGTTAGGAAACAAAGTGACAATACCTAGAGCATACTTAGTCTGCACAGTTTGTGGAGGAGTTCTTCTGTTTTGAGTCATAAAGCAGGGACATTGATAAAACAAAGGGAATTGGGGACAAGACAACCTTTCAACATAAACCAGTCTAAAGGGTACTTGAATTATTTATTTTTTTTAACTCAGAACATATTCATAATCCATCATTTATATTAAAATTCTTACCCATGAGCTTCAATCATGTCGGCAATGAGCATGTTAACCAACTGTCTGTGGGTGCTGTCTGACAAAGTTTTGGTTTTATCGTATTCAAACATTATTTTGTCTCCACCAGGTTTGAATACGATAAAACCAAAACTTTGTCAGACAGCACCCACAGACAGTTGGTTAACATGCTCATTGCCGACATGATTGAAGCTCATGGGTAAGAATTTTAATATAAATGATGGATTATGAATATGTTCTGAGTTAAAAAAAATAAATAATTCAAGTACCCTTTAGACTGGAACATTTCAAAACTAAACATTTAAATGAAAACAAAAAAATAAAGCTAAAAACAATTCAAAATATTAAAAGAACAAAAGGTATAATAATGATTCTAACATAACACTAAGCCAAACACCAAAAAACAACTACATATGTGTATGTACAGCCACACACATATACATATACTGTATATATAAATACATTCTATATGTATATATATATATATAATTTCATTTCCGTTTGAGTTAAACCTAAATTGAATAACACTGCGCGCTGAAAAGACCGAACACGCAAGAGACCTTCATCCGCCACTGGATACCTTCCTTGGACCAGGTGCGCGGACCTTACACTTACAATCCAAACTATTATATATGGGACAATTTTTGCTGCGAAACTGCCTTTACAATTTATTTTTTTGATCACTACCCCGAGCAAAAATTGCTTGTTAGCATGGCAACTGCTTGGTGGGTCCACATAGAACACTTCTTATGTGTTATACTTCAAGCTAGGGCTGAACGATTAATCGCATTTTCGATAATATCGCGATATGGCACAACGCGATTTTTTAACCGCAAAGGCTGCGATTACATTCTCGTCACGTGACATGCGAGAGTAAAGCAGTCTGCAGAGGAAGCGTCAACTTGGCACACTACGCATATGCCTGGCCTACAGAAAAGCACACTTTGTTTAATCCATCTAATATTGTGTTGGTCATACTATACAATCGAGATGGGAGAAAAGATTCTCAAACGATTCTGAGCTTAGTTTTTAACCACTGATGCGCGATGGCGCTGCATGTGCTTTAGAAACTCATCCTGCTTGCTTCCAATTGCTCTCTCTCTCTGTCTCTCTCTCTCTCACACATACACACACACCACTCGAACCATCCACACAATAACCTTTAATAAAGTTCGGAAAGGTTGAAGCGAATTACAAGGACATTCGCGTGCTTCACTGAACAGAATGCGCTGTGAGAAACGCGTGCGTTGCTGACGCTTGCAGTGTGTCGTCTCGCCCGCCGGTATTTTCCTTACAAATGCTCTACGAACACCGCCTCGGTTATGTTATGTCCATTTCAAATGCTGATGCGCGCTTTGTGAAGAGTGCTCGGTCATGCGGCTGTGCGCGACTGCTTTTAAGTGGTTAAATATACTTGCATTTCAAAATGCTTTTATAACGCGAAATTAATGTAAACACAGTCAGTTATGTCTTAAAGGATCAAACAGACAGGACAAACCACATCTTATATTTCAAAAGAGATCTGTGCATTAGTGTGAATGCAGCTTATTAGATCTGCCGCTCTCTATGATGCCATCATAATAATCAACAACAGTAAAGCTGAGAAAGAGAAAAATCACAAACAGCTCTTGAAAGGAAAATGTTCAGATACTCTTAAATACTGAAAGCACTGTTTGTTTACTGCTTGTATGCCTAGTTCCAGACTAAAATAAATGTTTGAGCTGTCTTAACTGAAAGCAACTTGCACTGACATGTCTTAAAATATATCAGTGCCATTGTTTTGTCTCAAGATACACACCAGTAATGTTTTTTTTCTCAGGCACGTTTAAGCTACTTAGATGTCCTAATTAAACTAAGGCCTAATCCTGGCTTAATCTAAGCCCTG